GATGTTTTTCTGTTTTTGGTGGAGTAGTCTTGCTGAAAAGATATCGAAAATATCCAGCGTATACAAACACACTGTACACGCGCATGTATACTTGCATAAAAGTACGCGAAACCAACTGGTTGGAAAGTTATTCAAAAGAGGTTCCAATTCTGTTTAAAAGTTACAGAATGTTATTGTTGTTAAGAGTTGCTTGGCTACAGTTATGTATAAAGTGTATAAATACGTTGATATGCTTAATTCAAAAGTGTATATGGTGTATATAAGCATGTTATGAAAGGTAGAATAGATAGAATACAATATAAAGGAGTATAACAAAAACTTTGATACACTATTCAAATGATAACTCATTAAAACCGATATGCAATTTACAGGAATTAGTGATTTTGTTCTTTGGAAAACAAATCAATGGTGATGATGAAACTAAGAAATACATTTTTGATATATGTATATTGTGAAAGGCCCAGTAAACAACAGTTACTACTTCATATAAGCTTAAGAGCTTACCCATCCGGAAAACCTGGTCCTGTTCTTCGTCTGCTTTTTCTACATGTAAATAATCCCTGTGATAAAAGTTTGCCGCATTTGCTATGTTTCCTTTGAGATAATGGTATATTCTCTTGTGTTTTTTCATTCAAACGTTTTCCCACTACTTATCATTTTTATAAAACGAACTTAAAGGAGTTTTATGAAAGTCAGATAGAACGGGTATGTGATTTACCTATACATCGTATTTGTATTAAAACTTGGTTTCATATTACCAGACGAAAAAACCCGACCCAAGTTAAACAATTTACGATGAATTTGCGACGTTTTATCACAGTGACTGGTGACGTCATAGTAATTGTTGCACGTAAGTACGTGGAATATGGTCAAGCTTAATATGTACAACTGTATATGTTGTTTTAACTTCTCTCTGTTTTGATGTATATGTATTCCAAGGCAAAGGATATAAGAATCTTTGACATGAACTATTTTTGGGGAAAAGTATGGTCTTTGTTTATATTCTTGAATGATTTACCATTGGGAAGATTAAAAATTTCGTGCATTCATTGGAGAGCAGCTCTGTCCCGTATACCGAAACATGACACCAGAACATAGTATGATTTATTTAAGGTTGTCATGAGGGTACGCAATAGAATTAAAATCATCATTTATCTTGTTTAAATGTGAATGATTTACTTGTCTAGCTGGAGATAGAAAAGTGTCTACGAGTTTTTTTCCTCGGTAATGTGTCTGGGTAAGACAATATACAAGGTAGCTGACACTTGCGAAAGCTGATACTCCGTGCTTGAGAACGTGTCAAGGAAAAACAAATTGAATTTTGGGGCAACGATCTATATTAGAAAATTTAATAAACGAAATTTGGAATCTGAGTCCTTGAGAGGCTTTGGAGACATCGAATATCTCCTTGCGCACGTCAAGTTATGGTTGGTGTTGGTCAATTCGATTGGCAGCAGTCTCAAGTGGGATTTAAGGGGTTATTGGTCAAATTGACACACTCGAAATGGAATTGAAATTTCTCGCAGGAGTATTAATCGTTACGTATTCATTTCAATAATTAATTAACGTGTACTTAGCCGGGAGCTGCCTCATCAAGGGGATACGTAGCGGACTTTTGAGTGATGTTTCGTTAAGGATATATACAGTGGCATGTTGAAAATGGCACACGGAAAGGGATTAACAGTGCTTGGGGAGTGGTGTCAAAATAAGGATATACACGTTGACCTGTAGAGTGATGTCTCGCTAGTGGGATTCTCCGCTGTCTTTTAAATGTGGTACTTAGGAAAAACTAGGGAGTGTTTTGTTCGTTTATTTGTTCAGTATTTTGCGTTATCGCAACAATTTAGAGACAAACGTTGAATGCGCTGATTATAAAAACGCGTTAGGATGTTTATAATGCACCAACAATGAAAAGTGTGCTTGATATCATTTCTGTGTAATTAAAATACGATTATTTACACTCAATTGCTCTTTACAATGAAATATGACTCATTTTAAGAAGTCGTTTGATATTTAAGTATTTTTAATCTGTTACGCCTTTTTACCTATTTAATTTTAGTGTGATCTTACGGTGTTTTCTGGCTCTAAATGAGTTAAATGTTAGATGAGCCTCAAAACATCACATAACCAAAATATTAAAAAAAACTTGCAACACCCAAGGTCATATGAAAACGGAGTCTATAGATAATAGGGCAAAACAGGGCAATTGTAATGTGATGTGAAATATCATAGCCTTAATTACGGATCCTGACTTTCCAATGATCGCAATATTTGACAAAGCGTAGGGGAGAAGATAAGGGTTGAAATCCAAACTGTTGTAAACAGGCAGCAAATCAAGCAGGAGGCATCGTAGAAAGCATTCAATTCTGCAGCATAACACGATCATGCATTTGAACACGTCATGTTTCTTCGCACAACAACAAGGCGTTAGACAACAGCAGTTAGAGTGTTGTCAAAATAAAGGGTACATACTGGTCTGTGTTGTGATGGGGAGTCCTCTACTCGTGGAAGATTAAATAGACCACCATCGATATGCTGCCCCCATTGCAACACTTTACTCATCTTTCCTTTCTAACTTTTTCTTTCGGTAATGTTTTCTGAGGCATCCGTCTCTCTCTCTCTCTCTCTCTCTCTCTCTCTCTCTCTCTCTCTCTCTCTCTCTCTCTCATATCCTTTATTAGCGATAATTTTTCCATACATATAGTGGCAACGCATGTGTAATGATGTACCTGAAATACGATGAAATGCGTTTTAACGGGTCCAATATTTGTCGAACATGAACAGAATAGGACCCATGTGAACATGAGGCACCCTGCTTTTCATTAATCATTATTTGTTTATTTCCATACTATCAAGCGGGGCTTTGACATCTGTATAAATGACAGTTAATGAGGCTTTCCGATCATTTCAATTCAAGCAAAACATGTCATATCAAACACTACAACCGAATTATTTATGAAATGCAGGATACAACGGAATTCGAAAGGGTACAATGTAATAAACCATCACTCCTTTATATTTCATAAGAAGATACACAGGAGTGCTTTCAGCTTGACTTTAAGCTAAGAAATTGTTTATCCCTTGCCTTGTCATTGTAATATGAACGGATGGAGTGTCAAGATATCATGTCTAGTTAAAGACGTTGGATTGGTTTGGTTTTAATTTTAGCGGCCTATGAACAGCTAAGGTCATTTAAGGACGTACCTCCATGTGTATTGCGTACGCGTTTATGTGTGCCGGAGACAGGATATGTTGGTGTACTTGCCTCCCTGTGATAGCGTGGATCTGATGCCGACTTTATAGTGCTATCTCACTGAAATACCATGCCAAAGGCACCCAGCACAAAAGTATGCCCAGTCACATTATACTGACAAATGTCATTAATTTCAATGACATTGAACTTCAAGGTGGCTTCATCGTGGCCCTATCTTTTATGAACAAGGTCTCATGCAACCTTAAATGTCGTAAGGACGAAATATCGAAGATACTACTTCATACCGAGAAACGTTCTCTGCTGTTTAGTTTTCACCTTTTTGCCATCCGTGATGAGGGCAATTGTATCATCACAACATACACTCGTAAACATCTTAAAAAAATAGTTATCAAATTTGAAGGACGAAATTAAAACTCGGCGAAGATGGATTTTTCCAGCGGATGACGAAAGTAAGACTTGCTGCATGCAAATGACCTGGAATACAGTTTGCTGTGACATTTCAAATTGCTCTTGATTGTCCCATCTCCCACGGGCACAGTTGTCTTGCTCTAATGTTGCGAGCGTGCAAACATATTAAACCAAGTAGCAAAAGAATAGTCTAAAATTCGTAAGATGCTCCCGATGGGCAATGTAATGTAAAAAGTCTAATTTCAACTGACAAACTATTTACCGTGTATCATTGTGTCTAGTTTTCATCATCAAAGAATTGTTGGTGATTATTCTGTTAGCATTTAAATAGTGCACTTCAATTAAATTGTATAAAAACAACAGATTTTTCAAAAATGTGGCTTTATCTCGCATTAGTTTCGTCCGTTGAGCTTGATATGGGAGACCATGTTTGCCGATTACTTTTGATTGTTTTGTAATTTGACTTGACAGTCAGGCAGATGTGATAAATGATTTTGCCGAACATGCATCGGACGCTTCAAAATACAGGCATTATTTTACAGTTAACTGTGTATTAATGCATTCTGATTTTAGTGGTTCAACGCTATCAAAGATCATAGTTGTCACTAAATCGTATTTGAAACAAAGGGCAATTGCAAATATCTTCTTTGAAATAATCCTCCGAAAAGCTCAACAATTCCATGAGGCATTTAATCGAAATATGAGCGGAGATGCTAATCATTAATAGTTTTACAATGTTTTTATTTCTATGTCCTTGACCCCAGCAGGTTTAGCTAAATATAGACATGATGAATCATACTGCAGGCAAGGAGTGTGTCTCCTTTCAATTACGAAATAACTTAATCTAACACAGATATAAACATAATCAGTTTCTGATTTAGGAGAATATTTACTAGTTTTCACGCAATTCGATAGAATGAGCGTTCCTTATTAGTACCGTATTTCTAATATTTCTAATATATTCAAATACCTTAAAGTGCGCATTGACACTGGCAGTTTGTAGCATTTGACTAGATTTAATAGAAAATTTGTGGACACAAACATTTCTGTCTCTATATCCACATCAATATATTATGAAATACATTTAGTTCATCCGTTGTCAGAATAATGTGACAGGATTGAATATTGTGCTGGGTGCCTTCGGCATGGTATTTCAGTGAGATAGCACTATAAAGTCGTCATCAGATCCGCGCTTTCACAGGGAGGCAAGTACACCAACATACCCTGTCTCCGGCACACATACACAAATGCACGCTAACACAACACACATATAAGCACGGCCTTAAATGACATTGGCTGTTAATAGGACGTTAATCATGTTCAACCAATCATCCAACTAATCGTTTTCACATGTTAATTATCCTGTTGTATATTGCAGGTTCTCGGCGGCCAATGCCTATTGCGAGTACACGACGATGAGAGAGAACCAGACGGTGATGGGGAAAGAGCTGTTTTCTTTTGCCAAAGGCTACGCGTCTTTCCACGGCTACGTCAGTATATGTGTCTGTGTATTTGGAATTGTCACAAACATCTTCAACATATCTGTCCTGACCCGGCGACACATGCGCACACCGGTAAATCAGATTCTGTCGTGGTTGGCGGTTTCCGATGTCTGTACCATGATATCTTATGTACCGTTTGCATTCCACTTTTATTGTATTCATCCTTCCGGGAGTAAATCAGCAGCAAAGAACAGCAAGGCATGGATGACGTTTATGATATTCCATATAAATCTAACAGCCACAACTCACACTGTATCTATATGGCTGTGTGTGTTGTTGGCTATAGTCAGATTCCTTCATATAAGATCGCCCACAAAAGCCAATTCAGCACGATTAAAGAGAATTAATCAGTCTAATATTATGATTTTGATAGTTTACATTGCAAGTGCCATCATTCTCATACCTAATTACATGAGCAACGAACTTCTACAGGATACACTACCGGATAATAACGAAACGATATATGTTCTCAGAGATTTAAAATTGGGTAAAAATGATACAGAAATTCTGGTTCTTGTGAACGTTTGGATGTATGCCTTCACAGCTAAGCTTATTCCATGTTTACTTATGTCTATTTTTGGATCCCTGCTTATATATAACATTCATGTGAAGCTTAAACAACGAAGAAAAGTTCTACAAATATCTGGTGCCAGTTCTTTACGTCTTTCCGAACATTCCAGAACCACGAAAATGTTAGTGGCTGTAATCGTTTTATTCCTCGTCACAGAACTTCCCCAGGGAGTTCTAATAGTTTGTAGCGCATGCGTGGAGAGTTTCTTTGACACTGTATATATTCCCTTGGGTGATGTCATGGATATTGTTGCACTTGTAAATAACGCGGTTAATTTTATATTGTACTGTTCAATGAGTACGAAGTTCCGAGAAACCTTTGTTCATCTTTATTGTTGTTCCTGTCATCATGTGCGAAAACCGCGAGAGAATGGATATACTCTCACCGACAGGATGGCAAAATTAGATTCACACAGCAGTAATAATAACGACCATATTCACCACCACCACCACCATCACCATAACAACGTCTAACACGCACGCTCCTCGTACCTGTCATGGAGTCGGAGGGGATTGTCCATAAAGATTTTGATCAGAAGTTTTTTTCGCCGGTGATTCCGGTGGGTGTTTTGCATGTGACAAGGAGAATAATAAAACTAAACGGTTTCATAAGAGTTATCCAGTACTCTACCTTGATTTGACGTCTGGCAGACAACATGAGCATTCCTAAGTAAAGAGAGACATTGAGACATATTCGGCATGCACATACTCCTGACACTCCCCTTTGGACCGATTCTGAATTTACCCTAGTACACTAAAACTTGAATTTATTTTATAATGGTTGTGATTTTAAAATATTCTAGCCGAGCCAATGTTGTCTTAGGAATGTAGTTATTTATAGACACTTTATTAAATTCATTCCTTGTAATTTAATTTGATATGTCTGACTGGTTTTGTCATTTTAAGCATGTAAAATGTCAAAAGTAGTTTCACCCGCTTACGATTTCTGTAAGTGATTTTATGTAAGCAACGATCATCTAAGTCCAGTTATTCATTTTTACAATGTTAAGTCTTAAAGAATATTTAAAAATAAACTTAACAGTTTATGAATTTCCTCTCTATATGCGATCGTTATAGATGCTTGTATATGACGGTTTCCATTTTTTTCAAAATATTTAAGATAAAAAAAGCTTCGGTAAGCTTTCGGTAAGCTTATCAGATTTGGAACAACCGATCCCTGACATATTTTAAAATTGATTTAGTTTGTTAAGAACCATCAACGTTCAATGAATATGTTAAGAACCATGAGCTAGCACTATTGTTGACGACTGTTGATTACAGAAATTTATCGTGTATGAACGACGTAAACAGGCAATGTCTCTGTGAAGGAAGTTGTTTCTGTTAAAGATAATTGATGTTTTAACAATGCTAATTGCAAAGTTCTTTATTCTGTCTTTATAGTGTATGGATTAGAACAGTAACATTTTATTTATATAGCATATTGATTTTAGTTAAAACATTTTTACTGTATAGTGTAGGAACTATAATAATAACATTTCTTTTATATGATTTATGGATTGTAATAGGCTCCTCGTCTAAACTAATTAGGACGCACCTTGACAACCGAATTAGAAAACTTATTATTATGAATTGATATTCGGGCCGAGTTTCATTACATACAAAATTAATTAAATTGTTGGATCCAGTAAAATTGGACACTCTGTGTGATACTAATTATCGGTCAGATTAGAGAGGGTGTCATAATATTCAGGTTTATATTTAGTATTGTTCATATGAATTGAGATAACAGCATTTTGTTGGATTATTCATAATACATAATGACAGAATACAAAGGAGTCGGATTACTCAGAATTTACTCTAACATTTTAGGCAAGTTCATTTCTTCATGCCTGCATTTTGTCCAATGGTTGTAATTTGGACTCACACGATTAGGTAATTCTGTAAAAAGCAAAATTTAATTTTAATGTTATGATAACTTTAACTTAAACAACCTTGGAATCCATGATGTCCTGATATAACAAGGGTCAAGATCTCAATCACACTTAAAGCCAAATTCCAATACATTTTCGTCTCTGTACACAAATAAAGTTAATCTGAGTATATTGCATTTAAAGCAATCCTTTTACTACAAATATCTTGTTGATCGGTGAAACTTCTTGTGTTGCATATCATTTTTATGTTCCTTAACAAGTCGCCGAGACTAATAAATTGCATGTAGTGTCCAGACAATTTTTTCATCTTGAATAAAGTTTCATGTAATGAACAATTGTACACATTGATTAGTATCGCCACTTGCGGTGGTTTGCATATTATTTATCTGATACTCTACTGGAGGCCAACGAAGATAAAATCGTGTTCGGACCATAACGTTTAAATGGATCCTGATCTTTAATGAAATTCCTACATATAGCAATGTGTCATTACCAGACGGGGTCGGGTATCACCGTGTTCCGCGACCCCGGGGGAATATTTTCATTATGAAACGTAATTCTACAGATGCATCAGGACCAGAATGGGTGTCGTATATCACTCGTAAGTCCGTATTCCGAAGGTCAAATTCACAACAATAGGTCAAATGCCAAACAATTATAATTAGCGTTCGTGTAATTACATTTGAGTAGATGAATACTATTAAATGTGCTGTAATGGATGTGTGCATCATGACTAGACAATATGATTCGTACCACTCCCAAGTCCAAACGGGGTTATAATTGTCATTACAGTTTTCCGGATAAAAACTTCTGAACGAAAGGTCTTATGTTCCTTGAAATATAGGAGGTGAATCATGAACCGATAAACCGTTGTGGTTAAGGGACATGTAATACATCAGATTGCTGGTTATAATCGTTAACCATGAATATTTTGTATACGTTTATGCTCGATATTAGTTCAAACTACTTGCTATCGCTTTCCCTTAGTTAAATATAAACGACTTTGCTGTATAACACTCAGAAATATGTTGTTGCCCGAGTTCCCGAATAACGAAAATATTCATTAAAACTCATTTTTACTAATTGTAAATTATATTATATATGCTTCATATATTACGTATTTGTAATCGTATTTCATTTCGTGAAAAAAAAAACGAAAAATGCATGACACTTTTGTCGTTCTTATATCATTATTCTGATTTCGAATTCTCAGCATTTTGTTTTTAAAGTAAATTCACTACGAAATATATTTACTTATATCACGTGATTAATAATATCAATTGGATAAAGCTTTTCATACTTATTTATTATTTACTAATTGACTCAAAAAAAACATTTTTATCATGGTAATTAAATGTTTTGAGAATAATATCGCTTAAATCTCACGGCTGCTTTTGACCTATTTAAACGACTGGGCTTTTTGAATTCACTAACAATACTGATAACTATTTATTGAAAGACTATATGATGCATGTTCTGCTTTTCATTTTTGAACAACTGAATTTCCATTTACACCAAACTTTACTAGCAGCATTTTCTCCGAATAAAACATGAACAGTATTTTCCTGAACTCCCAACTAGAACACTTCAAATGTTACTCCCATAATAAACTGTTGCTTTGAGGGACACTTTTCATTTTACTATTAAGGAAAGTGATGCTGTAAAATAGTTTCTGTACTCATAAGATGATAACTATGTGGATCATTTTCTTGCAAAAAACTATTGGTTGCAAATGAATGAACAGTTTTAAAGACAGACAGGATAAACACTGGAGAAACATGAAACCTGAAATCTTTTTTAAAATGACAGCCAATTACACAGCTTTACTTGCGGTTGGCCACGTGTCGATAAGGAGGGCATATGGGTTCGTCGGTTGCGCTAACGTTAAACAAGAATCCACTACATTTTGTTACCATTGTTTATATTCCGTTCATAATTAATTCACTAATAATTCATTAGGAGGCACGGTAGTCTAGTGGTAGCACGCCGGGCTCATGCCACGGCACGGCAATGTGTTGTATCTTTGAGCAAGATACTTTACTCCGCTTGTTCCAGTCTACTCAGCTATTAATGGGTACGTGGTTAGGCAGTGCTAGAATTGTTGAATGCTAGCTGTTAGCGCCGAAATGGCAGCTCCGACGGTATGCTCCCCAGGGAGTTGAGAAAGGTATTGGCTGGTTTCAAAGGCCCTATAACCACGTATAATAATTTGTGAACCGCTTGGAGATTACCTATGAACTAGGTTGTGATAAAGCGGTATATCAGAACCATTATAATAATTATCAAATAATCGTTTCTCTTGACCTTAGCTGTTAATAGGAAGTTAAACAAAACTAAACCAAACCAACCAAACCGAACCAAACCAAACGAAAATTCTCTCTCGAAGAATAATGTTTCCTGACTTCATATTTCTATTAATTGTTTTACTGAAAAGAAAGAATATTATTGCCATCGATAACTGTAGTTTGAGGTGTGAATTATTCAATCTGATATTTAACGTGTAACATTCTCTTTCATGTGCATTGATATGTACTAATATTAAACGTTTGATATATGAATGCTACCCTGTGACGATAGAAAACACATGCGTAATAAGTATCTGTTTTCTTATAATATAAGTATGACATACGTTTTCGTTTTGCAAATTTGACAAAGACACATGTTCCAACATATGTGTATAATCAAATATGAAAAAATATTATCTATTAATTTCAATTGGCAACTTATATTTAACTTGTTATGAATAGTGTTTAAAATTGATAATTGTTAAATATGTTACTCTTTGTTTGATATTCTTTTGTCCAAATATTGGAAATATTTTTCTCACATCCTTCTCAGGTGTTTTAGCCGGGAAATATCAGTTTGTCATCCCTAGGGGCACGTGTTCAATTGTGACGTCTAACCATAGGCAGAGCCTCGGGTTAGACAACCAAAAACATCACCCCTCTGGTTGGAGATTTCTCTGTCACACTCTTAAGGTAGGGGACGATTCTATTTATCATAATAATGCATGTTAACGTGATGGACGATCTTTTGCTTTACTGATCTTGGAAAGGAAGGGTTGGTAACTAAAAATAACTTCGAATAGAAGTAAGTCAAATATGACATGCGACATGCAAAAACGTGTGAAACATGGCGCATTGTACACGTAAATAGCATTGACAAGAGAGTAGGAATTAGTTGGTATTGACTATTAAAGGTTTGTTCGTGTGTTTTGTCAAATGATAACCTATTCTTCAGTAGAACCAACTTGCGTTATCTATGTATTTTTAAAATCTCATTCTGTGATGGCAGTAAATAAAGAATGTTTTTATTTTGATTTTATAAATTTAGATAATTAGTTCTGTATGATTTATATTGTAACTAATTTTTGTAATAATGTTTTTTACTTAAAAAGTATTGAATATGTAAGGTCACAAATGTGAAATAAATCTCATTTCGATAAATTTTACAATCGTTTATTCACGCTGTCTTTGATAAGTTGACTTAATAGTATACGATTGTATTATTACAGTTTACATGAAACAAATATAATTGAAATCATATAATAATTTACAACCATATTCTACGTAGTCAAACTCGCTTGAGAAACCGTCTTTTCTAGGATTCCACTATTGTTAAGAAACCACATTAAAGACGAATCACTAGAGTTATTGTAAGTTATCCGAGCATATGGTAATGCACTTGAAGGAACCGTCTACAATAAGGGATCCGTTTATGGAATATTTTAGTTCGGTTTCTGAAAAGTATTCAAGCCAATAAACAGGTCCTTTTATTAATCTTCATTGACCTATCCAAAACACCCTTTTTCCTTTGAATTCTTCATGATGTCTTCTTATTTGAATCTCATATTTGTAGAATATAGTAATAAATAAGGATCACAAATTGGTTAATCTGATATTTGAGTACTTTGCGGTAGTTTTTCAAGTCTTGCTTTTCTCGTCTGAAACAATTGGAAGTTGTTATTGTAATAATGTAGAACTTGACTTTTGCGAAAATATCCACAAACGAATATTATCTTATAGTTGATTAAGTTTATATATTAAGAGAGGGTATAGACTTAAAAATCATTACCAACGCGAGGATTGCCACACCGCCATTAGTTTGAAGAGTCACAACGCCGACGGTTCCATTTTTCAAGAAGTTACATATATGTATGTGATGTCATGAATTAACAGTTGTTTTATTTTTATATCAAATTGAATGGTTGGAATAAGTTATGCTTTAATCCTGCCTATTATATGTATCACAATCTGTTTCATACGTTTTAATATATATTTACCCGAAAAAATCCATTTTTTTCTAAACAATAAACAGTAATGCATTTTCACTATTGAGAAAATATTAGTACGCAATTTTGAAAAGAAACAAAAATTATTAAAGTCATTTACATGTAACTTTTTTGGGATAACGTGCTGTAAATGATATATGAAAGCCTATCTTCAGTCAAGTAAGAGCACGGTAAGCAAATCTATATATTTTTGCATTTTATTAGACAACTTTATGTATAAATCAAGTGCACTTCCTTATGGCAAATCTTGCCTCCCACGTCGCCGAAATCTTGACATTGCAATTACAGTTTTCAGTTAAATCATTCAAGTACATTAAACACCACTTAATATTTTCTTCTAGTGACAGTTTTCACTGAGATACATTGCCTTATCTTTCCGGCAGATGCGAATTCCGTCAGCTTGCAAGAGAAGACAAATGTGGAACATCGTTTTTGAAGTAGCATGTTCTGAGACAAAAGCTTGAATTCCCATTTGATATATAGTCATGAACTACAACAGACCTAATTACCTCCAGTAAAAATCTTAAATACAATAGTAAAGCAAAGCCTAACCGGAAAGTCAGGGAGGTAACTTGCTAGGCGATCTTAAATTGTACACTTGAGGTTACTAGTATCTCGCGTGCAGTATAATATCGCGTAAATTCACGTTAAACATCGTTTGCGAATTTCAATGGCACGTGAATATTTATTCATATATAACGAAAGATGTTCACGTTGTTTAAAGTGCTAGTAACCTCACAGAGGGTCAGTTTGCAGACATGTGTTGTAAGTATGCACGAAATGTTAATAGTGTCAAGTTTCTGAGTGCATTAGGTACGTGGCATGTTGCTTTCATGATTGATTTTTAATGAACATCTGGCAGAATGTAGGATTAGTTAATTGCATTTTAAATATGTTTCAAATAGTGGTTGAATTTTTAAGATGAATAATTTTAAATGGGAATGGTACCTGCTACTTCATGTTGATATCCAATCTTACATGCAACTTATTTTTATGCTGATGCATCACGTTGGAAATTCTTTTTAGTATCACAAGTATTATAAAAAGTTGATTAGGAACATGTGTACGTATGAAATTTTTCACTCAAAGAACAAAATTTTCATTGATACAAACTATGTTGAACTGATATTTAAATGATTGTTTATGTAAAAGTGCAAGACCTGACAATGTTTTGAGTGACCAGTTTTGATATTGTTTGATTCCGTGTTTCTACAGGGGGGTCAGTAAGTGTTGTATATAACCTTCTCCTCCCTGTCGATGCCTTGAATAAAATATCAGCGCCACGCGCTATAAATTACTGTACTGTGTTCGTTGTGTTGTGTATACATGATTTCATTAAAGGAGCATCACAGGTTGGGAATCGCACAACAATGTTTTCATTTATCACAGTGTCGACAAAATTGCCATTGATTCGTGAAAAGCTTCAAATACAGATGATGCTAATACATGACAGCCTTGATGAATATCGAAAATGGTTCTACGCTTAAAAATAGTAGTTATATCATTTTCCTCTACAACCATTCTATGTTTCCTCACTCACAACTCATTCGAAGAGCCAGGTAGGATCAGGTTCAACTGTTTTGTTTTGGTTACGCAACTGTGGGAAACACCCTGAACTTTATTGCATTGGTTAAACGTCGAAATATGACGTCAAATAACAACGAATGAGGACGTCATGTTTCGTTGTTACATCATAGTTTATGACTACTTCCGCCCGATCAGAAACACGAATAGTGCATCCCAATAAAAACATAAGGTTTTCTAGATATAACATCTTAATGCTGTTGGAGGGAAATGTTTCTAATCTCGTGAGGGTTGATTATCATGTTTGCCTAAACTATCAATTCGAGTAAGTAAAGATCATAACCAACCATCACTCGTTGGGGAACCTCTATTTATTTATTAAGGCGATTGAAACATTTGGGATATCTATCATTCTTTTTTCTGGTGCATCTTGTTTCACTTTAACGTATTCCTTTATTATGAACGTCTATTTTAAGTGTTTTTGGCCTTAAATGTTTATTGGCCATAAACAAATACAAAACGAACATTGTGTATGTGTTAATCTGGTCTTTCAACTATTGAACCTAACAATTAATTAGGATACGTTGCATGGATAACAATGTTTTATGTCTCATTCATAGCAGGACACACCTGTCGTTGAAGACCCGCTTAATATCGCTTCCATTTCTGGAGCGTTTCAATATCTTTGTACTATTGTTTATTTGTTCTTGTGCCGTTAAACACCGTTGGTCGGGGATACAAAGATGTAAACTATCACGAAAAGAAAAACTCGTAGCGATGTGGATAGGTCTGTTTCATTCATGGTATAATTAGTTGTTATTCTATTTTATGACATGAATGGATATCGTATGAAAAAAAGAATTATGTGCCCCCTACCAGGATAAGATAAATTACTGTTCTGTTTTATGTAGAACCTTTGTTTTACAAGTGCAAATCCTATACTCAGGTGGGTAGGTATAGGTATGTTAGTGTATGCGATGTTCTGATTGTTATGGATCCGTGTTTTTACGGCTCATATATTATTCCATACCACTTCAATACACGCAACCCAGACCAACTTAAACTCCGCTTCAGCCCAGGTATCAGAATATTATGATCGGTTGGGGGTACCTAGCTAGCTGAACTATGTTATGACGTTTCAGTACGATGGCTTGTAAAAGTGATCTTGGAATGGGCCCATCAACTGCAGACGTTATCTTTATATGATTTCAACTATTAAAGTACGCAAGGCCGTAAACAAATAACAAGTGGAAACGTATCTGTTATCATAAATTATTGTACATAACAAGCAAATGCATTACGTATGAAGGATCCTCCAACCATGACTACAACCTGATAAATCATTTTGAAAAGAAACCCATACGTTGCGGAACTTTTACGTACTTTTATGAAAAGTAAAACAAATGTATATATAATCAGCTCTGTTCTGAGCTTTAAAAAAAATAGCGGACCTAGACCAGGAGTTAACCCTGGAGCTCTGATTGTTATACTGTCGCTCAAATCAACAAACCTTGTCAACGGAAGTGTGCCAGATATATTCAAAGCAAAATAAAGAGTTCCCTGTCTATAGGTAAAACTACAGTGGAAACGAACAGGAATCCTTCAGTAAAGAATATTGATTGATATCGTACCATAATTCTCTTAAAAATAGAAATAAGCCCCGTATTGTAACATGGTTTGAGTTTCTTTTTGACGCTTTAAGCCATACATGACATTTTGAATCCATCGGGCAGTTTAAACTTATCAAAGTAACCAATGCTTTAAAATAGCGTAGATTTTACATTTATCATTTTCCTTGTGTTTATACAGTGTATTATATTTCATGTTTTGTGACTAGTATTCTCGTTAATAATTTAAATATATGAACTTAAAAAAAACCCATTATTGTAATAATGCAGATGTTTGATGCATGTAATATGCCACAGTTTAGGGGTAAACGGTCTAAAAACCCTTAGCCTATTATCATATTTATTAATGCTGCAATTATCTGTAAATAAGTAAAAAGAACACATAACAAAACATATCGAAATATTCTTCATTTTTATCAAGCAAAAATTGAACTGGGACTAAAATTGTAACGCCTGGATGGCTGAATTTCAGATTTCAAGAATGACATTAAAAACAAATTTTTAAAGCAAAATCCAAAAACAAAATCCTTATCTTTCGATAAAAATGGGTATCAAAATCCACGTTTTGGTTCATTCTTTATGTAATACCGTATATTGCATTTGGGGTAATTGTGGAAGAACTCTCTTTCACAAAATGGTAATCGCAATGGAAGGGAGGCAACTGCTAGTTCATTCAAGAGAGTGATAGATTAAGACATTGTTAGGTGTAAAGCCGCATTCGTCGGTCTTCCGTACTCTGGTATCCATCAATTCTCCCCCTCCTCTGAATCAAGATCACTTAATTTGATTTCTCAGACCTCATAGGATCCCCTGCGATCTGGAACCCATCAGTTGTTTTCCAGGATTCAGAAATACTTCAACTGAACCCTTCGACTCCAGAACCCGTCAGTTGATCTTCCGGACTCTGGAAAAAAACTTAGGTTGATCCCCCGGAGTCGAGAACCCCTCCGTGGACCTCCCGGACTCCAGCAGCCTGCACTTGTAACATGACGTCGAACAGGTAATCGTAAGATTCACATCTACGAACAAAATAGTGGTTACTTTAATCAAATACTCTGTACGGATACTATATTTCTATAGCACATATTACAATTTATTTTAGATTATACATAAGTAGAATCGCACATGTCAGGCAATCCAGATAGTTTACTATCAACATAAATATTTATGATTGTATATCATGAATAATACTAGCAACATTGTTATAATACTACTATTTGTGGGAATATTCTGCCATTTTCCTACATGTCTTCATATCTTCTACGAGGTTGCTATTTTGTTTAATTAATTTTCTTTCATGAAAGGTTATGCTATCATAAAAACTGACATTGAAAGTAAAAAAAACCCATTCAATCCAGATTTTTTTTAAATCTAAAAGTATGTTTATGTTGAGTCATACACTAGTTTGGCTTGTTCCCACGTCTGTCCCCAAGCATAGATCCCGTGACCGCGGACTAGGACTATGCATGTGTCTGGGTAGTCATTCATAGCTTTCACCATTCCGTCCTGTCAGAAAGACAACGATATCTTTACTCAGCTAAATAAAATGTGACACCACTCACATGTTGTGACAATGATCGTGATTTTGAATTTGTCAGTTATCGATCTTACAACGGGGATACTAACACCGTGACGTTTGAAGTGGTTAAAATGTATATTTGCAAATGAACAGTGTGTCTGTATTACTATAGAGTAACAGCGACGTATCTCCAACAGAGATATTAAAGTTACTTCAGTACATTAGTTAAATATGTATTAAAAATAGCATATTTGCAACAAAGTCATATCCGCCATGGGGTATCCCTAAAACTGCTACTTATAAAGCAGAAAAAAACGTCCCTACCATCATGTTGATACTAATGTTTATAACTTTCTCCGACATTACTGAGAACACGTTTCAATATTTTCAGGCGTCTATATTGCCTAAAATCATAAACTAAATGTATAGTGTATGAATAAAGAGGCATTAATATATATTTAGCAGAAAATAATGTTTCACTACCTTTTATGTGTTAGACTCTGTTACCTAATTTCTGCAGAGATATATATTGGGAACAGTCATAAATAGAACGACCAAAACATTACCTAAAGTATAACCTTTAACACACTGAATAGCAAACTTTCATATATACATATATAAGTATCGTAAAATACTGAGGAATGTTGTATTGGGGTTGCACACAGTACTGACAATAAGTTCATCTCCTGTGTGCGTGTTGTCGATAACAGGAAGGACAACATCGTCTGTGAATTTGTAGTTTCCTCCTGTGTAGTAGATAATCAGTGAAATGATGAGTGTCTTTCCAAACTAACAATATTTTAAGAAAAGCTGTTGAAAAAAACCACATGAATCAGCTCATATTTTTTTTAGATTTATGTTAAATTATTAAATTACCATATTTATTTGGGAAGACGTTCAGAACTAGCTGTGTTTTTCATCTTTTTCCAGTGTTTACAAAATAAGTCCATTCTATCCTATGAATGTGACACATACGTTTTAAATACAGTTTAACAGTGTTAAAAATTTGTTTTTGACTTCATACATTTTTTCTGGCGAAGAATTTTAACCATATTTTCTGCATGATTTAATAAACTACTCCTCATTTATGGAGATGAAATACTTTTAACATTGAGCCTTATCTAATATTCATGAATGTAGGTCTTTCAGTTGCAACCGATGTACAAATATATGTAAACTATCTAACTAACCTGTTGACCATTTGCGAATTCCTTCGAATTGTAGGTTGGAGAGACGAACTGTGTTTCCTTTATTGAGTAATGTTGCCAGAACTGCCGACTTCGAGTGCAGATGGAACACTGCTCCTGGAGCTGTTAAAATGAATATGTATTTATAATTTTGGTTCTACCGATATACAATATAGACCTTAATACAAACGCTGTGGGTGATACATCAACAAATAAGTAGAAAAGTATTGCAACCAAGACGAATTCTATCTCATGTACAACGTCACCACTTATAACAAATTATGCTAACACGTCGACACACAAAGACAAACTATATGACTTCAAATAACGATAATAAAGTATACCACAGCTTCAACAAACAGGTCAAACATGTCATAGATTCAATATACAGGGACAAAATACCAATCAGTCGAAACACAAAGACTCAAAATACTCAAAGTAAAAAGACACCACGAACCGAATTGACATAAAACAAAAGATATCATCAACCCTCACAGACACCGGAGGATATGCGTGTCCTATGCCTATTATAGCACCATTAAACTAGTTATTTACTGTCTGTACAGATATTCTATGTTTAAAATTTTGTATAAGGTTGCGACCATGAAATATCTTGACTCTCACGTATCATGATTTTTTTCCAGAGCGGCCAGTTACCATGTTCCTTGGTATGGTGTAAAGCTGAAACTACACCGAATTCTTAGGTTTTCAAGCGAAAGAGGTACTTTAGTTCCACCATTATTTTGTTGGCAAAATAAGAAGTGGAAACACCAAATCTGTTTTTGCCTTAAAATGAAGAGTGAAACATTTACGAGGTATGCAATAACAGTTGTTTGTCTGATATTAATACCAATGTTACCATAATATTGAACATATCTGTAGACGTACGATCATTAAATTTAACATTCGTTTTGGTGCATTAATATGATATTAAGCGTGCTAAATGACATACCCGTTGGTGTAATATCCTCAAAGAAAAATAACCTTCCAGTAGTTGTACTAAAAGACACTGATCATACCCTTAGCTTGGCAATATCTCACTTGTTCGCCTTAGATTTGAACGTAAGCCCAAATGAAAAAAAGCAATGTGTTCTGTCCTGAGGTCAGGACATACCAAATTCAGTATGGTGTAAAGCTGAAACTACACCGAATTCTTAGGTTTTCAAGCGAAAGAGGTACTTTAGTTCCACCATTATTTTGTTGGCAAAATAAGAAGTGGAAACACCAAATCTGTTTTTGCCTTAAAATGAAGAGTGAAACATTTACGAGGTATGCAATAACAGTTGTTTGTCTGATATTAATACCAATGTTACCATAATATTGAACATATCTGTAGACGTACGATCATTAAATTTAACATTCGTTTTGGTGCATTAATATGATATTAAGCGTGCTAAATGACATACCCGTTGGTGTAATATCCTCAAAGAAAAATAACCTTCCAGTAGTTGTACTAAAAGACACTGATCATACCCTTAGCTTGGCAATATCTCACTTGTTCGCCTTAGATTTGAACGTAAGCCCAAATGAAAAAAAGCAATGTGTTCTGTCCTGAGGTCAGGACATACCAAATTCAGATTGTTAGGGTAATCGCAACAACTTGATAAACCGTTGTCAATGTAATAAGACCGGGCGAAATATTGTGTTCGGTGCCTTCAGCATGGTAACACTCTAAAAGTCGGCATTAGATCCGCGCTATCATAACTCGACAAATACATCAGCATACCGCCTCCAAAGGACAAACACCCATCCACGCATATATCACACATGATGCACGTCCTTAAATAACCATAGATGTTGAATAGACGGTAAACCTAATAAAACTGAACTGAACAAACGTTGCCATGATATCAAGCATACGAGTACATGTATTGTTATGACTTCAAACATACCCTATGTCGTAACTATAAACATGCATTGTCGTTATCACCTTTGAGTCTATATATACTCAAAAAGACAGGGGAACATTGTGATTTCCTAAGGCCCTTGGTAGACTGTGGAACGGAAATGTCCTCTCCGTCGACTGTCTGGACAAACAGGTCTTCGGGCTATAATTATAACGGTAAATATTAAAATGTTTGTAGTTCTTGAAGTTACACAAGTAAAAACATGTTTTCTGTTTCTATTAAACGTGTTATATACAATGATTAGAATAATATGATTTCTATTTTATCAATTATTCAATTATCGATATTTAAGAATTTAAGGATTGTCCAGCGTTATTTGACTTGAAATTGTGTGCATGATCTGTTTTATTTTTTCATTCTTTTCATTCTTCTTATAATAGTTCTCTTACTATCCATTCACAGGACCGACCAACCGGAGTAAGCATATCTGCACAAAAGCTATCCTTTATGTATGTTGATTTGTCTTGCTGATATGATCAAGATAAGTTTCATTTAGCTTGAAATGTGTATCCCGTACAGTGTTTAATCTTCTGATATCAATTTCTCACCTGGACACGTTCCTTTTGAACCCCAGAAGGTGTTATATAAATTTCCTGTCTTTAACCGCAAATTAAATAGGTAAAACGTGTTACAACCTGCTTTGATAACATAGAAACAACAAAAAAGCAACAATTCATATACGCTGAGTATTTGATGAAAGGGATAAAATCGTGATATATTTTTGTCAATGATAAAAGCTTATTAGTTGACAATTACAGTCGTTCTTTAAATGAGGTATTTATTTTGTTGGAGTTAAATTGATTATTTTACAGTGATATATTTATTTTGTCATTTACTTGTAAAAACGAAGTATGTGTTACGGTATACGTGGTAACGTTTTTGATCATTTGTAATTCAGTACTGTCTACCGGATAATTTCCGCAACACTTTAGCTTACGCCTTAGTAATGTCAGCAAATGATTCATTTGAGCAAACATTAGTTAACAATATCACATACATAGTAATTATTTGAAGAGCGAATTCAACACTTAGCTGTCACGGATCCCAAACATACAGCGCAAGTTTGACTGGAGGAAAGTCTCCGTATACAATATAACATTGGTACCCATATTTAATGCTGAGACTGCCCCCGGAACCCATCATCCATCCTTGGCTGTAGAAGAGGCGACATAATTCTGGGATGATGTTCCTTGGATGATCCTGTTTATAAGATAAATGAAAGAAAATGTGCAATTATGCTTATAATTTATAACAAAAATGTTGATTAAATGATAAAATATATAATATATCATTTAAGTGGTTTAGGTCAACTTTCGTTTTGATATCACTTAAATATAAAATCAGAGTGGAAAGCTTTCGATGTCAAAATAACAAAATTAATGTCAAGCAGAGGACTTTAAGTATCCATTTTAACGACATTTGTTTGTCATGGGAAGGGATATAAGCCATAACCTTAATCGCTTTGGCAAAAGGTCAACACCAGGGCCAACCACAAGGTATTGCAAAGTAACACCTTATGAAATGAGATTCTAGATTATATATGTGTATATAATATTTCAATACAATTGATATCTATCATATAAAATCTGCATGTGTAATGCCTTGTTTTCTAAGAATAAAGGTTTGATAAAAACGTTAATCCATAATAAGTCTGAAACAGACTGTTTTGATAAATTTCATAACATTAACGCCATTAAACTCTATCTTAAGAATAAAGTTAATAATAAATAAAGGGAAAAATCCTATTGATCATCACTAAATTTTGGAAAAAGACAACAAAATCGAGATTAACTAATCATATCTTTAAAATCGAAATTGGCGGGGCTTAAACAGTCCTCTGCAGCTCCGTCTTTGTAACATTTTTAACACAATAGACGACGAGGTACATTTATTGGTTTATTGTACCTAAAACCCTGACAATAGAAAACAGTTTTCCGAAATAATTAAAATAACGACATTCTTTAGTGACATACAAAACCTACAAAATATATTACCATCTAATTGACCAAAACTTTTGCGTGATATAGGTCTCTTCATTAAAACGTCTTTTGAAGCGAAGAAGGTGAACTTGAAACGTGCCTAATATTCATAATGCTGTATATATCTCTTTTGCTGTGTTGTTCTTTTGCAGTTCGATTCATTGCATGTATATTGTTTGGATGAAAAAATGCAATAAAACTGAATGAATGCATTTCACGTTCTAGTTAAGGACATTACGTGACAGAATGCGATGCTTCACTACGTAGTAGATTATGCAGGAAGAAATCATAGATATCGCTAAAAAGGATTATCGATATACTGATATAACTAGATAATACCATATATACTTATAAATTTAAAGGCAAATTAGAGGAAATATGATAACCCATATAACATCTGGCTGTAAAGGAAGGTGCAATTTTGGTTCTTTTTATTCACTACTGAAATGTTTGCTACTAACGTTAGGGAAATCAGGATTCATCGTCTAGCGTTCCCGTGAATATTGATAGCCAGCTGCTGTAATGGAAAGTATTGACAATTAGACATGCGTCGTCGTATTCTTACAATCCTACGCATTGTAAAATTGGACACAATGCGAAACATATACTGACCTGAAATGGAATATCTTACAAGCCTTCTGTATTATTTTTTATTCTGCGATATAGACCAACGTATTACCAAAAAACTCATTTATGCAGATTTTAGAGCACAACGGTGGGGGACGGTTGTTAGATCGTTTGGCAGTGCCGACGGTGTGTGCACGTTATTGTTGGTGAGTTATGCGGTCACACACGTGTTGCATGTAAGCATTGTTTCGACACAGAACATGGACACTACGACTTGACGTACATTAGTGCAGTATACCCATTCAATGGTAACATTTCTGCTTGTATTTCTGCCACACAAAGAGTATCCCAGATGGTATTTTGAATTGCTATGCTTCCACTTAAGTTATAAAGCACAATTGATATAAATACCTTTGATGAAAATATATTTATTGAAATTTGAATTAACATATATGCATAACAGAAATGCAGATCAACCCTTCAATAATGCAAAACACACTTAAAACATGTAACGCATATCATGCATGTGCATAAACAAACTTTGACCAGATATCGTGTTTAGATAAAAGAGACAATTTAGTGAAGTAAGTTTTTTTTAAACCTTGTCAAAACAATTTTCATGGTAATATAGTTTGATACTCCTTATGAACAATCATGTTGAGAAATTGACAAAGGCAATGTTTTGTTGGCGTTTTTTATCAGTAATGGAGAAATGCTTAACTGTACAGCCGTACGTTTTAGCAGCAACTGTCGGTGAATTTCTAGCTAAGGCTAACAAAAATGTCTCTCCAGCCGAGGAGAGAAGGCAAATTATCGCTTTATTCACCTAGCCTCTCTGGAATACAAGTACATGCATTTATTCTGAATAAAAATCATCTTCAAACAGCATCTCAAACATCGTTATAATTGAGTGTATTTTACGTTTAAACCTATTGATATAAGTACTTTCTGCGGTTTGAAATACTCCCTGCGGCACCCTCTCAGTCCGTGCATGATCTAATTGAACATGTACGTTTTCATTCAAATCGAAATGTGTACAGAAATATCTGATATAACGATACTTATAATTATAATTATATATAATCCAACACAATTCTGAGAAACTTAATGAAAAAATCAATGTGGAACCGTTACCAGTTGTAGCAAGTACTAACACTGGTCGTCTATAAATAGAATGTAGCCGGTTCCAATGCGAGGGCCATTAAAATACCATTCAACACTGCCTATAAATACACATTTGCATGTACATGCACACACAAATATAACATTCATTCAATTTAATAATAGTATTAAATTGCTATAGGAGATAATAAGAATGGAATAACTACGAATTATTTAGCAGTTACTTTGACAAGAATATATTTACGTTTTCTGGACATTGTGACACTAGCGACTAAGTTATTGATTTCTGTTACAATTGTGTGAATTATAAATTATACATAATATATCCTATTTAAAACCCGCATACAAACAATACTTTCTCACTTAAAACACTTACCACTGTTTAACAGCAAAATGTCCTACAGCTAATATCAGAGGACTCAATTAACAGACACAGCACGACAGGTACACGGGTAATGCACGTGAACAGGACAACACGGGTAAAACTCACACAAGGGGACACCGACGTATAAAATGTAAATGAATAGAGTAAATGAAATACAAGGTAAAGAACGTAAAAGATTTACTGAAGAGGCATGAAAAGGAGAAGGCTAAGCACTTAATAGGTGCCTGCCACAAGAATACCTTAATTTATAATCTGATCGAATTAACCTCGATCTAATCCAATGTGTATAATCAGCGTTATCCCTTGTTACTACTCCTCCCGTGTATGACGTAAACACTGTCGGAACATTCTATTTATATAAGCCATTGTAGCAGTGGCTGCTAACTATTGTCGAAAGTGTGTCAAAGCTACTGACTGATATCCCAGACCGCAAATCAGTTACCGTTTACATACAGACTACATTGTTTTTATAGTTGTACATATACATTGTATATAATGAGTCAGGGAGTTCGTGACAATCAGATAAGTATGCATATAGAATAATATACTAAACTCAACAATCAAATACTGCATGCTTTCAACCATTTTTTGCATATATACAGAAACGTCAAATATCTTTCTGGCTTACTCTGAGCTGAAGGCGTGGTACCAATTAGGGCCTTTTTGTGGCTATCACTGGTAAGTTTTATTTTTTGTATATACATACCTTGGAGTTATGTCATCATGATATGACATGATATCAAGGTCAGCTTTTAGACCATTCCAGAGATAAAAGGGAACAAAATGGGGGAACAAAGTCACAAATAATTCTCCATAATTGAGCCTTCACACGCTGTCTGCCAATTATAAAAATGACCTAAAAACTAGCACAGTTGATAAGTAGGTCATGGTGACCTTGCTATAATTATTGGCAACAATAATCAATCTCTGTTTGTGTAGGGGGACGGAGACAATAACTTCTATCATTATTTGGACACGCATCTTACGGTCAAATACTTATATCAGTTCACAATAAAAACAAATATTTCTGAGTGCTTACATTTTTGTAAACAAGAAAGTGTACCTCGCTACCTCACTGTTACAAGAGGCCCAATTGGCCTGCATCGCTTACCTGGTATAAATCTCACACTTGTTACCTTAAAAGTGATCTAAAATAAAGCTACAGGCAAAATATCAGTATTTATGATTAAAATTCATTCAAAAGACACCGTTAATTTATTTTTTTAAACATTTCACCCTGTGATTAAAAGTCGAACAAAGTCATTATGTTGAAAGTTTTTTTTATAGTCTTTCATCTCAGGATGCAACTTGCAAAGTATCAACATCCTGGGACCTATGGTTATTCACAGGAGATTGTTAAAAAAAATAAACAAATTTGACCCCTGTGACCTTGAATATAAGTCAAAGTCATTCACTTTAACAAACATAGTAGTCCTTGATCCCAGCATGCTACTGACTAAATATCAACATCCTGAGCCTTTTGGTTATTCAGAACATGTTGTTTAAAAATTTTGAACATATTTGCTCCTTGTGACCTTGAATATGATTCAAGATCATACATTTAAACAAACTTGGTAACCCTTGATCATAGTATGCTACTAACTAAATATCATCAACCTGGGCATTTGGTTATTCAGAAGAAGTTGTTTAATGTTTTTCACATATTTGACCCCTGTGACCTTGAATATAAGTCAAAGTCATTCACTTTAACAAACATAGTAGTCCTTGATCCCAGCATGCTACTGACTAAATATCAACATCCTGAGCCTTTTGGTTATTCAGAACATGTTGTTTAAAAATTTTGAACATATTTGCTCCTTGTGACCTTGAATATGATTCAAGATCATACATTTGAACAAACTTGGTAACCCTTGATCATAGTATGCTGCTAACTAAATATCATCAACCTGGGCATTTGGTTATTCAGAGGAAGTTGTTTAATGTTTTTAACATATTTGACCCCTATGACCTTGAATATGGGTGAAGGGCATTCATATGAACAAACTTTGTTACCCTTCATCTCAGCATGTTACTGGCCAAATATCATCACCCTTAGCATTTAGGTTATTGAGAAGAAGTTGTTTAATGTTTTTAACATTTTTGACCCCTGTGACCTTGAATATGACTGAAGGTCATTTATTTGAACAAACTTCGTAGCCCTTCATCTCAGCATGCTACTGGCCAAATATCATCACCCTGGGCATTTTGATTATTCAGAAGAAGTTGTTTAATGTTTTTCACACATTTGACCCCTGTGACCTTGAATATAGGTGAAGGTCATTTATTTGAACAAACTTGATAACCCTTTACCCTAGCATGCTACTGGCCAAACATCATCACCCTGTGCATTTTGGTTATTCAGTAGAAGTTGTTTAATGTTTTTAACATATTTGACCCCTGTGACCTTGAGTATGGGTGAAGGTCATTTATTTGAACAAATTTTGTAGCCCTTTATCTCAGCATGCTACTGCCCAAATATCATTATCCTTGGCATTTTGGTTATTGAGAAGAAGTTGTTTAAAGTTTTTTAACATATTTAAATTTGACCCCTGTGACCTTGAATATGGGTGAAGGTCATTCATTTGAACAAACTTTGTAACCCCTCATCTCAGCATGCTACTGGCCAAATATCATCACCCTTAGCATTTAGGTTATTGAGAAGAAGTTGTTTTAAAAATTTAACATATTTGACCCCTGTGACCTTGAATATGGGTGAAGGTCATTCATTTGAACAAACTTTGTAGGCCTTCATCTCAGCATGCTACTGGCCAAATATCATCACCCTGGGCATTTTGGTTATTGAGAAGAAGTTGTTTATTTTTTTTTTAACATATTTGACCCCTGTGACCTTGAATATGGGAGAATGTCATTCATTTGAACAAACTTTGTAGCCCTTCATTTCAGCATGCTACTGGCCAAATATAATCACCCTGGGCATTTTGGTTATTTAGAAGAAGTTGTTTAAAGTTTTTTAACATATTTGACCCTTGTGACCTTGAATATGGGTGAAGGTCATTCATTTGAAAAACTTTGTAGCCGTTCATCTCAGCATGCTACTGGCCAAATATCATCACCCTGGGCATTTAGGTTATTGAGAAGAAGTTGTTTAAAGTTTTTAACATATTTGACCCCTGTGACCTTGAATATGGGTGAATGTCATTAATTTGAACAAACTTTGTAACCCCTCATCTCAGCATGCTTCTGGCCAAATATCATCACCCTTAGCATTTTGATTATTCAGAAGAAGTTGTTTAATGTTTTTCACACATTTGACCCCTGTGACCTTGAATATGGGAGAATGTCATTCATTTGAAGAAACTTTGTAGTTCTTCATCTCAGCATGCTACTGGCCAAATATCATCACCCTGGGCATTTTGGTTATTGAGAAGAAGTTGTTTAAATGTTTTAACATATTTGACCCCTGTGACCTTGAATATGGGAGAATGTCATTCATTTGAAGAAACTTTGTAGTCCTTCATCTCAGCATGCTACTGGCCAATTATCATCACCCTGGGCATTTTGGTTATTGAGAAGAAGTTGTTTAAAATTGTTAACATGTTTGACCCCTGTGACCTTGAATATGGGTGAAGATCATTCATTTGAACAAACTTTGTATCCCTTCATCTCAGCATGCTACTGGCCAAATATCATCACCCTTAGCATTTAGGTTATTGAGAAGAAGTTGTTTAATTTTTTTAACATATTTTACCCCTGTGACCATGAATATGGGTGAAGGTGATTCATTTGAACAAACTCTGTAGCCGTTCATCTCAGCATGCTACTGGCCAAATATCATCACCCTGGGCATTTTGGTTATTGAGAAGAAGTTGTTTAAATGTTTTAACATATTTGACCCCTGTGACCTTGAATATGGGAGAATGTCATTCATTTGAAGAAACTTTGTAGTCCTTCATCTCAGCATGCTACTGGCCAATTATCATCACCCTGGGCATTTTGGTTATTGAGAAGAAGTTGTTTAAAATTGTTAACATGTTTGACCCCTGTGACCTTGAATATGGGTGAAGATCATTCATTTGAACAAACTTTGTAGCCCTTCATCTCAGCATGCTACTGGCCAAATATCATCACCCTTAGCATTTAGGTTATTGAGAAGAAGTTGTTTAATTTTTTTAACATATTTGACCCCTGTGACCATGAATATGGGTGAAGGTGATTCATTTGAACAAACTCTGTAGCCGTTCATCTCAGCATGCTACTGGCCAAATATCATCACCCTGGGCATTTTGGTTATTGAGAAGAAGTTGTTTAAATGTTTTAACATATTTGACCCCTGTGACCTTGAATATGGGAGAATGTCATTCATTTGAAGAAACTTTGTAGTCCTTCATCTCAGCATGCTACTGGCCAATTATCATCACCCTGGGCATTTTGGTTATTGAGAAGAAGTTGTTTAAAATTGTTAACATGTTTGACCCCTGTGACCTTGAATATGGGTGAAGATCATTCATTTGAACAAACTTTGTAGCCCTTCATCTCAGCATGCTACTGGCCAAATATCATCACCCTTAGCATTTAGGTTATTGAGAAGAAGTTGTTTAATTTTTTTAACATATTTGACCCCTGTGACCATGAATATGGGTGAAGGTGATTCATTTGAACAAACTCTGTAGCCGTTCATCTCAGCATGCTACTGGCCAAATATCATCACCCTGGGCATTTTGGTTATTGAGAAGAAGTTGTTTAAATGTTTTAACATATTTGACCCCTGTGACCTTGAATATGGGAGAATGTCATTCATTTGAAGAAACTTTGTAGTCCTTCATCTCAGCATGCTACTGGCCAATTATCATCACCCTGGGCATTTTGGTTATTGAGAAGAAGTTGTTTAAAATTGTTAACATGTTTGACCCCTGTGACCTTGAATATGGGTGAAGATCATTCATTTGAACAAACTTTGTAGCCCTTCATCTCAGCATGCTACTGGCCAAATATCATCACCCTTAGCATTTAGGTTATTGAGAAGAAGTTGTTTAATTTTTTTAACATATTTGACCCCTGTGACCATGAATATGGGTGAAGGTGATTCATTTGAACAAACTCTGTAGCCGTTCATCTCAGCATGCTACTGGCCAAATATCATCACCCTGGGCATTTTGGTTATTGAG